AAACAAGAATAGTCATTATACATTCTTTATCATATAAATAAGCATAATCATCTTATATGTAGATATCATTTTAACATAAATATCATAATCATTATAATGAAAGTTGTTAAATTCATTCCACGACCAAACATATATACTCAATTTTGTTTAATACTACTTATATGTATCAATAATGTATGAATATAAATAATCTTGAGATTTGAAATTAATAAATGAAAAAGTAAGTTTAATATAGTTATGTTGAGAATTTTAATTTAATTGAAATTTATCTTAAAATGATGTCTACATATAAGATGATTATGCTTATTTATATGATAAAGAATGTATAATGACTATTCTTGTTTTCATATCATATATTTTTTCGTGTAAAAGTATCTTGTTTTTGTTTGTAACAGCAGGTTGTGTTAAAAGGTTGATGATGATCGAAAATTTCCATTAAAAAGAAACACAAAGAGTCTTTTCAGTTTCCAGGAAAATTGACGTTTTACATATTTTTGACTTGAAAAGAGCACCCGGAAAAGCTAAAAACTATTTCTTTATAATCAATAGTTCATGCTCTATCAAACGATATGTAAAACACGCAAAGAAAAATTTTATTTTTAAGTGCTGCATATGCCTTTTTGTTCTATATACAATTTTATTATTATTAATGGAAATTTATTTCTAAGTAATAGAAAATATCAAAAGAATATAAATATATTCATTCAATTTTAGCTTAAAAGGAATAATAAAGAGAAAATACAAATGAAAAACTATGTGTTATGTTCTATAGAAACCGTGAATTATATTTGAAAAAAAAACAATGTAACTAGAAACCTCATAATCGTTAAACAAACATATTCTGACGTTGTTTTAATCACGTTAAAATTTATTCGTTATTATTACATTTCTTTCTTCAAAAAAATATGTAATTAGTCCGATGCGAAGCAACGCATTTCTATTTTTCCTTCGCAAGTTTTTTTTTATATACTTCTCTCGACGCATAAAAGTCGTCATTGTATGTTCCGATCTTTCGTATGAGATTCAATTCGTTTATCAATACAATAGTAGAATTTAATTTAGTTCGATAATATTTTTATTTTAAAGAAAAAAAAAAGAAAATGTTCTGTTACGTTTGTAAAAGAAATTCTTTTTTTTCATTAGAACAAAGAAAATAAAAGTTACTTTTATCGTTCTCTTGTTATACTACATCATACGTAGAGACATATTCATCATCGTGTGCATATAAAAGAAAAACTACCTTTTCTTTCTTACATGGATAATTTTCTTAAAAAATAAAATGATAAAAAGCAATTCTACGAATGGGTTTGTCATTGACAATTTTACATATGGTAAGAACAATAAAAGAAAATGTATTTCAACGCACTAGAACGATGTTTTAATAACGTTGATGGAAGAGAAAAACTCACTTTTTTTCTTCTTCTAAATGCAATCAAAGGAAACAAAAGACAATATATTTAAAATACAAAAATGGCATTTTCTTTACTAGAAGTTACCGTTGAAATGCAACGTTTTTTTTATATATTTCTTTTTATCTTATAGGAATGCGTGTTCGTTATATAATGGAATGGTGTAAAAGCCATAAAATAACAGTTCTAATTTTGATTATATTGAGTTGTCTTACGATTAGACAATATAAGAAACGTCTAACTTTATTCGATGGAAATTTCAATCAACAATTTATTAGTAACAACAATAGTAAGTTATATTTAACTGAAAAATGATTTTTTATATTTTTCTAATAAAAAAAAATCAGTGACTTCATATATCCAATGAAACTCTAAAAATATTTTTTTTCCTGAACCCGTATATTTAATTGTTCTTTATCAATATATTTTAAATGAATGATGAGTAATGTTAATTTCGATAAATAATAAGAACAATTCTTTTTTCCCTAAATTATTCCCTCTTATCGTAAATTTTAAGAAAAAAAGGCGAGTGGGTATTTTTTGAATAACTTTAAAATAGTTGCAGTTTTTCACTGTTAGAAAGAAAAATAAAGACAGTTATAAAACGTTTCTAGAAATATACTACGTCTCTTATCAACAACAACAAATAGATTTTCATGAGTGTTCTAGAACTATCCGATAAAAACTTTATTTCTGTCTACAATTATTAAAGAAATATTTTCATCTCTTCTCTCTCATAGTGAAAATCACAACACTCTATATGTATCTGTGTCAGGCGGAATTAAGATTTAGGTACAATTAAACTAAATTTTTACAAAATTGTAGAATTCGCAAGTTGTATTGAATATATATAGTTTAGGAAGATGTAGAGTGCGGTAGATGTATAGAACAAAATAGAACGAAAACTATTTTAAAGGAGATCATAAAGGTTTTTTCATGAATGAGATGGATAGAATTAAATAAGTTTCTCTTAATCAATTGTTACTAACTTTCCCGATCAAAAAAAAATTCAAATTTTGCCTGGGTCATATCGATTTCAAAATCATTCAAAAAATACTCATCCGACTTTGTTATATTTTTTGCATCGGCCAGTAATTCGTAATGGTATGAGTATTAACGCATCGTTATGCAATAGAATATGTATTCTTCATCGAAATAAGAACATCTTGAGTTTCTACTGTGTCTCGATGGGTTTTCCGAATTTTGCCAACATACTTCCCTAGATAACGTAATCTTTAGAATGTTTTTTCTTATTACATAAGTATTTTGTAAAGTTAAAAGCTAAATTAATCGTTTGATACATATATTTATTTTCACATACTAGTTCACAGTTAGTTAATCCAAACAAAAATAATAATAAATAATATTAAAATTCTATAATTCATAACGCTACCAGTGGCGGATTTAGGGGTGGGCGATCGCCCCCCTCTTCAGAAATTTTATTTTGATTTTTTACAGCAAAAATAAACGAAAAAATAGATTCACACCACTTCGATTGAACTCAAAAATTGTTTTTAGCCGAAATCGCCCCTCCCTTCCAAAATCCTAGATCCGTCACTGAGCGCTATAATATAGGAAATTCACCAGGATTATTATTTGATTCCATATGTATTTCGATAATAAATAAAATTTCTTTTTTTCATAGATAATCCAAAAAATTTAAATGAAATTTTATTAATATATGTTTATGCAAATGCTCATTCTCATGCGTATGAAAATTTAAAATATTTTATAAATCAAGCTGTTCGTGAAAATGATAATGTTGATTATTATTTTATTTTACAACAAGTTGATAATAAACCAATAAACATAAGTTCAATGCCATTATTACCAAAAAAAACCGCTTATTATATTCAACATGAAAATAAATGCTTTGATTATGGTACAATTGGATGGTTTATTAATAATTATGCTATTGGAAATCCTTGGAAAAAGGAAACATCATCAACAAATTCAAATATAAAAGTAAATTTAAAACAATATAAATATTTTATATTTATGAATTCATCAATACGTGGTCCGTTTTTTCCACCATATTTTATTCAATTAGTTTTAGAAGCAAATCTTAATTATTATTGGTATTCAGTTTTTCTAAGACGTATTAACAAAAAAGTTAAATTAGTTGGTTGTACAATTAGTTGTGAAACAGTTCCACATGTTCAATCATATTTTCTGGCAACTGATTTTACTGGTTTATCATTAATATTAAAACCTGGAAATTCAGGTGGAACTAGTCCTGAAGGAATATTAGCATGTTATCCAACAAAAGATCATGCTACAATAAATAGTGAATTGCCCATATCAAGTAGAATTCTCGAAGCAGGTTATATGATTGATTGTTTATTAACAAAATATCAAACAATTGATTTTACTAAACCACATAATCGATTTTGTAATGCAAATAAAAATCCATATAATGATAAAGGTCTGGAAAATACATCATTAGAACCATATGAAGTTGTTTTTGTTAAATCAAATGATTTAGTTTTTTTAAAAGATGCAAGAGATAAAGGAAAATTATATCAAAAATGGATGGAAGATGTTAAAAATTATAACAGATCATCATTTTAGTTATTATTTATACATTCAGCTTTTTAACTTATGTTTATCATTGTTTCTTCTTTAGTTTTATTTTAATAAATTTATTATCATTTTATTGGTGAATAGAATGACTGAATAAATTGTTTGCTTTCTTGCTTGTATGTCCACATTTCACTGATTAGTCCAAGACTTACTTAAAGATATAAGAGAAACTTTTTATAAGGGTTGAGCGAAGGGTAATCGTGGTCGAAAAACTCGAATCTGGTGTCAGTTTTTGAAATTGTGTGAGTAGATAGTTTACTGGTAGTGAAGACACATTGTTTATACGAGAAAGAGCTGAGCGAGTCTCTAGACGAGCGTTACTTGTATGTGTAATGGATGAGCCGAAAGTTTTCGGACATGTGTTTGTTCATCGACTCGAAAGTATTCTAGATGAATAAAAAACGGTATTAATTTATATATATTTTCGTATTAGAGTAGTGAACAGTATTTTATCCGGGTTTATTTTGTCGAGTGGGCGAATCGAAATTTCAAATGGGCGCCGCCCACTTGCTAGATAAAATACTGGTAGTGAAAGAATTTGTGGGCATGTCAAAAAAATGGGGTTAGTTGACTACCAAATACTCATTTACTCCTTCTGTAAATCCCTATGTGTAGGTGCTGATTAATAATGCTATACGAAATGTGATATCAAACTCTAGTATAATTTTTATACTAGTGAAATTATACGTGCTCTATATAAGGTTGATTTTTTAAAAATGAGGATAATATAAAAATAAAAGAAATTGAATAGGACATTTTTGTAAGACGAAAATCACTCTACAATATGATGTATGAATCATTATTTTAACATCGAGTATTGAATCCCAAGAGTGAAAATATAAAAAAAATTTCCGTTCAAACTAATTTTTAAGCTTCGTCTCTTACTACTCACAAACAAAAATTTGTGAACATATATTCATAAAGAGTATAAAATACCAATTCTTACTCGTCGTGTTGTATTTAACTTCCAAATGAACAAATAATCATTTAGAATATAAATAAATAAATTGATCGAACTTTATATTTAAATCTAATCATGATTTTATTAATGAAAAAATAAACAAAATTTAACTTCAAAAATCAGTTGTATCTTTAATAGGTTTTATTGGATTTTGTTTATCATCAAGTTGAGATTTATTTTTTAATTCTTTCTCATATCGAATTAATTGTATGAGAAAATTATAATTAGGAGCAGCAATAGGTCTTCGATCAAGTAAATATTCATACGCTTTTTCTAAACTATCATTATGATATCTAAAAATAAATAAATTTCTTTTATTTAAATATTTTTTTTAAATAAAAACCTGATTAAATATGCGAGAACAATTGAAGACGATCGAGATATTCCTGCTTGACAATGAACTAATACTTTTTCATTTTTCATTTTACATTCTTCTAAAAATTGATTTGTTTGATCAAAATATTTTCTAATATCACTTGATAAACTATCTTCTAAATCTTTAATCCATAAAACATGAAAAACTTGTTTTATTTGGTCATCTAATGAACAATCACATACATTAATAATATGTTGAATATGAAGATCTAATAATAAATCCATATCAATAGCATGACCTAAATCACCATGATAAAGAAAATTATCAATAACAATTGAAGGTTGACTACGATTTCCATCGAATGAATTTATTTTGTTCTTTTGAATTTTTATTAGTTTTTCTAAATAATTTAATTCTTCATTTGTTGTTTGAAGTGTATTTATAAGAATATCTTTTAGATTTTTATCAAGAAAATTATCTTCTTCTTCGTCGATATTATTATTAATCATATTAATTATCTAGAAGATTTTTATTTTACAAAATAAATTATAGAATTCAATAGAAAAAGATTTAAATTTTTTTCTTCCTTTGTCAAAAATATACATTGGTTGATTTTTTTAACCAATTCAAAATAAGAAAAGATTTCGCTAGATTATGTTTTATTTCAATATCAAATTCTTTTTACCAAAAAATGAATATATAGAACATTTATGGGTGAGTGCCTGTGCAAGTAAAATACGCTTTTCACTGTTGAAAAGAACCGATGAGGGCTCATAGAAATTTATGTGAAACCATTTTTCTGAGGGTCCTCGAATACCCCCCTATAATCAATAAATCCATATGATATACTCTTTTTCTAAAAGCTTCATATAATAGTCTTAGAAAAAGAATTAGAGAAATCTTTCCAACAGAGAAAAGCGCAGCTTTCCATCGTGTTCCTATTAAAAGTTGTTAAAAAAAATACTTACCCGCCTATTATTTCGAAATGATTAAAATGCTTATGTTAGAAAAAACCTGTTGTTTTTCTTCCTTAGTATGACCCATGATTGTTGACAAAGGACAAATACTTTATCTCACGTTGTCTGATATATACAAAGCACATCAATACAAAAACACTATTCTTATTCATACATTCATCTCAAGCAAAATAATAAATTCCGTGAGAATTTTATTATAAGATATTAATTTTTTAACAAAAATATTGGTATAATGACTCATGCTAAACATGTAACAAGGGATGTCTCTTAGAAAAGAAAAATAAAAGGTTTCGAATATTAAAAAAAAAACCTTTCTTTTTCTGAGATAAACTTAAAAAGTATAATATTTTCAATGAATGTATTAGCATAATAAGTTCATCTAAAAGATTTAAAAATTTAATTTTTTTTGTACTTTATAGAAATAAGAAACTATGGAAAGAATAACGAATAGATCATCAACAGTAAAAGCAAATTGAAATTGTGATCCATCTTGAGGGTGTGGGTGATGAATGAAAAGAAAACCCACACCCACATCCATGTTTGTAGCCATTTTCATTCTCATACCATGACCCTAACAGTCCGACAATGTTAGAGCCAAGCTGACTCTTCATCTTTGTTCGTGTTGTTTTTTCTATTTTCATCATCTCAGTCACAATACGCAAATGGTAGAAAATCGACTTGACTCTTATAACATTTATTTATTGATTAAAAATAAAGAGATAAAACAAAAAGCAATATTGATAAAAAATCAAGTGATGGGACAAAAAGCGATATTGATTACATATGAAATGATGAGACAATAAGCAATACAATACGATTCTGTTTTGAAAAGTCATGATTTAATGTTCATTCAATATAGATGGTTGGCTGAAAGGGAACTACTTGTGTTGATGCTGGATGAGGAGTTATTTGCATCCATCCCATAATCTTTCGATGCATACGCCATCCACGCCAGACAATAAAACGAAGAATCACTGTCAATCCACCATACAGTCCAAGTACAGTTGTGATTATGTAGAGTATTGTGTTATGATCAATGTATTGGTATGAACACGAATGCGGAGCACACGAAGCAAAGTAGCTGGAATAATTACTTTTAATTCCCCAATCTTCCACGAATAAACTATCAGCGAGACTGCCTATGGATGTATTTGAAGGATAAATACTAGATGTTGAAGCATTGAGCAGTTTGGGAATCCAAATAGTGGTATTTCGTGTCGATGCAATGCTTGTCAAATTAAGAATACAGTTTGAATTAAAGAAACATTCTAGAGTAGACAGACGAATACCATCAACTGGTAAACAACTAGCTACCACACCAGGTAATACTATTTTATTGTAATTGACATCAATATACAGTGGTCGTGAGAAGCTATCTAATGATGTAATACATGAATAATTATTTCCAAATGAATTACGTGGCACAGTGGCAATGACGTAATTATACGCCGCAGTCGTAAAAGCTAACTGCCAATCTGTTGCAGGTACAACCAGTAGCTGATTTGCACGAAATGTCTCATAAATAAACAACTGAGTACGGCGAAATTTGTCTGGTGTTTGAGCAATAAATGCGTTTGTAAGTGAATCTATTTGAGCTTGAAATGAGCTGAATGATATTGCTTCTACAGTAATTAATTTATTGTTGAGAAATGCACTTGTGTCATTGTCGATAGACTGTTGTGCTAATGTACATAATGATGCAAGAACACGAAACTGAATGCTAAGAAGTTGAAGATCTCGAAAATTGCTCACAGAATCCGTTCCCCAGAGAAAACCCCACCATTGTTCAGCAACAAAATCGCTAGAACATACTTGATGTAAACGAGATGAAATCGAGAGAAATACATTTTGTTGAGTAGAGGTTTGTGAACATAAACATGAGAGACCTAACTTTTGTTGATCTTGCAGGAACGAAAATGTTGTTTGAGATGGTGAGAGAACTGTGATGGTGCGTGTTTGTAGACTAAAACTTGTGAAGAAAATGATGATACCGAAAGCCAGAGACAACAAAATGATGTAGAGTCGACTAGGTTTTTTCGTGTCGATATCATGGTCCGCTCGTATATTATCTTTGAAAACATCTATGTTCAACAGAGTATTCCGTATATGGGTCAATAGTAAGCACTGCTGATTGTTGCGCTCGATTACTTCTGGATCTAAAATGGTCAATAAATTTGATTATTCACCTAAACAATATTGTTTTCTAGAATACAATGGCTTTACTTATCGAAGAAGGTAATACTCGCACGAATTTCCTTTTTTCAACCTGTATAATTATTTGAGATTCTTGCTGCATGCAAATATGAAAGCTTAGGCTAGATGATTAATGTGTTGTACTATCTTCTTGTCCAACTGAAACGCTGATTATATATCGCATTGTTTCTAAGAACTACAATCATGAAGTGATTGCATCAAGATTATAGAAGTGCTGTCAAACTAAAGTAGCTTTTTCCTAGGCTGGTACTTGAGCAGTATTTTTGTTAATACTTTCAAGGAAACTGAAGTCAAAGAAGACTCATCCTAGCCATTCAGAATCAGAGATATTCTAGTTGTATGAATATACTATATTTACTCAGGGATGGCGTTAGCCGGCTAAGAGTTGAGCGCTGTCAGTTCTTGTATGACCTAGAGTCGATAACATAGTCGTTATTCATTCTTCTATCTGTTCTACATGCATATTTCTGGTAAACATGAATAGAAAATTCTCTATCAATTTATAGCTACTCTCGAATTCATAATTTTTTCAAGAACAAATGGGTTGAAAGAGAACAAAATCAACAGGCACTGGTTTCCAAGAAGGATTTCTTAACTAGAAAAACATATTAACTTTTTCTGGACATCTAGTAGTAGTCAAGTGAGTTACTAAGGTTAACCATTGATTAGGTTAAAATCCAAAACAACTAATCAATTTTGATTACTACACTATACAATAAAAAAGCCTAGTTCATATCTTATTATTCGGGGAGAATGTCGACTCCCATGACAGCCCTATATTTTCTGTCATCTACTATTTCACAACGGAAGACCTTCTGCCGTAAAATCGAAGAAATACTTGTATCTTTTCAGCAATTGCAGAGATGGCTCATTTTCATGAAAATAGATTTGTATTCGCTACACTCATATGAATTAATATTAAGAATGTGCAATAATCGAAGTTGGAAACTGCCTGTATTTCTATAAACTGTAAAATGGCGATAATTGTGCTTATCCAAAGAGTGAGAGTCTAGAAAAAACATTTGTTTCACTTCTGATACAAAGAGATACAGAGTGAAGTATATAGATAATAGATATATGAACTTACCGATTCTATTGACGCCCTTACAACGTTGAAAAATACCCACAATCAGTTTTACACAAGGTGGCAGAATCAGCTTTAGTGCAACACTAAGTCCACCCAACAAACCAATGAGAACTGTAATGGCAGCAATAAGAGCATATCGTTGATCGTATGTGTATGTGCAACTATCAGGGTTACAGGTTGTATAGTAGGTGCTGTAATCACTGGATGATGTCCAGTTTTCAATAAACATGTTCAATACCAGTGGTTCAAATGTAGAATTAGGCAAAAATTGACTGGGTAAATCTGGGTCGAGTGCTGTGGTATTGGCTGCGCGAGGATCGATCAGCTTAATCCTTCCATTGAGGTCAAATAAATACCAATTAAGCAAAAATTGAATACATGATTGGTTGTAGAGACAGGTAAGTGTTGAGAGTAGTAATGAGTCAATGGATGTACAACCCACAAACATACCTGAAACAGTGATGTTTGGTTTTGAGTTGAGACTATGGCATGAGCTTGCACTGCAATAAAACCCTAGCGGTCGAGTACATTTGCTGGATATGGCACATGAGCAGACAGGTCCCGAAGGATATATGCTTGTCAGACGCAATCGAATAGTGTAAACATTGGACCCGGCGGTTGACCCGATGACTGGAACAGCTGCAGGATTCGATGGGTTGTAGAATTGATTATTTCTAATTCCCGTGTTTACTTGAGAGAACAGAATCAGAAAAGAAGCTTGTGTTTCTTGTTGAAATTGCTGTGCCAGTTCGGTGGTCTTCTCTTCGAATAATGCATGTGACATCGGATATACATTTACTAGTTTTGTGGCGCCAAAAACAGTTGCGGCATTGACAACAGTTGTATTGGCTGTTTCACACAATGTTTGCATTAATAAAAATAGACTAGTACCGGCAGCCCCACGAAAATCACCACTACCAAAAGTGATAATGGCCGAATTGTTTGTTGTATTCACTGATGGCGAATGTTTAAAATAGAGTAACCAGCGATCATCTCGGACAAAGTCACTTGAGCAGAGCTGGTGAAATTGAGGCGTAACAGTCATTATTTCATCATAGGTCACAGAGAGACCAGTGCAAGGACATACGAGTGTCGATGAATATCGAGAAGACAGTTTTTCGAAGGTATCCAAAGATGGCTGTTGTATGGTAACACTTATCGTGGTCACACTCAATATCGAATAACTGAAGAGAATGAATGCACCCATAAGTGTGAGAAAAATATATAAACGCGTTGTTTGAATACCCAGATTCACGGTAGAAAATGAAGTTTCAAACATGTTAAATGTGCTGATTAGTTGACGAATTCGGTGAACGAGGTTCAGAAGGCGTTCTCCGATGCTTGGCACTAAAACAATTCAAACAATTATCATTTAATGCCATTTATAAAAAAAAAGTCAATATCTGAACAAACAACAGTTCATCTTTCAAACAATTCAACACTCTCTATTTCTTGTTTAGAAATAGAGTAAATCAAATAAATTCTCACTATCATTCCGTGAAAAAGAAACAAATTAGGAAAAGTAAAAAAGTTGCCTACCTGCAGGATCATTTTCTATTGTAGCAATTGCTTCACCTTGGCATTTAAGTAGTAAACGACGAAAGAATTGTACGAGAAGAGGAACAAGTATACCGAGTATTGTTGTGAGACCTCCGATGAGACTAAACAACATCGTCATTGTATAAAGAAAATTACCACGCTGTGTATAGGTGTAGGAGCATGCTTCCGGATGGCATGCATTATAATAATAGATGAAATTACTCGAATTTTGCCATGTTTCCACGAAGAGTTGTTCGAACATAGTATTTACGGTTGTATTGACTTGAAAGCGAGACGAAACAGTCGCATTGAGTGGGATGATTGCTTGCGAGATACCAATGAGATCGAGACATGAACGATTATAAAAACACTCCAGTGTCGATTGAAGCATTGAATCATGAGGCAGACATCCTACCATCATACCAGGCACGATAAACATAGGTGGTGGCGAAGGGTGATACAGGCTTATTTCATTGCTTGCAGGACGAATGGAATAGTTGTACAAACCAGCTTGAAAAGCACAGCTCGACTTGTGCGTACAACTGCAAGCGGTATTATTTACATTGAGGGCATCACTGGCAGTATAATCTCCAACATAATATTGCCCGTGTTGAATGTAGTAATTTGATACTACTGGATTCGCAATGAGGTAACTATTAGTATTCAAAGCTGACATAATTTGACTGTTGAGAATAACCTGGGACACAAGCTGATCGATGTATTTTACATTCGCTAATGTTGTAGCTTGCATTTGTTCGACAAGTGCTATAACTTGAGCCTTGAATACTTGAAGTGATAGAGCTTGATTCGTAATGATTTGTTGTGTAAGAAATTGACTGAGATCACTACTAATAGTCGATGCCGCTGTTTGACACAACATTGTCAAAATCTGAAACTGAGACATAGCCATTAGACGAAAATCTAACGGATGAAGTCCAGACATATTTATGTTGAATAATGTTGAGATGAATTGTTGAGAGATAAATTGACTTGAACACACTTGATGATAAAGTGGATCGACCAACATAAATTGATCATAGCGAATATTGGTTTGTGAACAAGGACAAACGAGAGTATTCGGATACTCATCGTTCAGATGTTCAAATTGATTGACCGAAGGTGATGTAACAGTTACGACGTGTGTTTGCATGCTCAACGTAGCAAACAAGGTGACAATGATAACTGAGATATTCAGAAGAATAATGAATAATCGAGTTGCTAACAACTGATCATCCAGTATCAAAGAGTTATCGGTTTCGTACAAGTTAAACTTGCCGAGCGATACATAAAGACGCTTCCAAATCATCATTACAAAACTCAATACTGCAATTATTTTTTAAAAACTCATTCTCTTTAAATATGCCTGTACAACAATGCTGACTTCGAACACTACGATTCAGAACAGCTGTAAGGCCTGCTTTCATTCATTGTGAGAGAAATCATACTATAAGAGAGAGATACATTCAAAACTCAAGCAAATATTGAATCGTATCTTCCAACTGTTGTTGCAAATGAGTTGTGCAAAGTCAGTGAATATTAGAATATCATAGTTCAGTTAAAAAAAGTCCGTGAATAGTGCATTGTATGAATGACTTCTGCAAAGTCAGTGAATATTAAAATATCACAGTTGAGTTTCGAAAAGTTAGTGAATATTTAAATATCATACGTCAGTTATAAAAAGTTAGTTAATAGTACATTGTATATATGACTTCTGCAAAGTCAGTGAATATTAAAATATCATAGTTGAGTTTATAGAAAGTCAGTGCATATTATAATGATCTAATTGAGAATAGTCATACATGTGATTTGTTAAAAAATATATAACAAAATCAGCTATTTGTTTTAGTGGTCGCCTGATCAATGGTGATAAGCAATAAACTCTTGTCGGAAGTTAGTTACATCATTTCAGACTATATTTTCATATATACCAAGAAACAGCAGAAGATCATATTTTAGTTTATGTCGTTTGTAATTTCCAATCAGTTTTTGAATGATATAGTTTATTGAAATCTCATTTGAGTATTTGATTTCTAACCAATATCAATCTATTATATAGTTTCAATAGACTGTATATTTACTTATCTGTACTTTGGTTTCCATGAGAAAATACTAAGGATGTCACATTTCAAAGTGCTTCACAATTTAGTTTAACTTAGTATTAAATCTATTATTGTTGATACAAGAAGTCGAAAAACATTATCAATAATTAGAGTTTCTAGATGAAAAACAAGATAATCTCTTTTCCAGTTATTTTAATTATAGTTGAATCAAAGAAAGAAAAAACGAATGAAATCGCTAGTTTTGACGTTTTTTTACTCGTAATTATAATTTGAGATGACGTAAATAACTTTTGACATGAATTTATTGTTGATTACCATCGGAAAGACAACAAAATGTTGGTTTTATGTTCATCTTCTAGCAAGACGAACGTATTACTGTGCTCAATTAGATCATTATATTATTCACTGACTTTCATAACTCATTTGAACAATATCATAGAAATACTCAAGGCATTTTCAAAGACAGTTGCTGGATACGATTCAATTTTTTTTACTGATCTTTGACTATTTCTTTCTTAAATCATACTTTTTCTTACAATAAATGGAAGCACGCCTTGCAGCTGCTCTAAAGAAAAACGTTCAAAGTCAGTATTCTAGTTTTCTATCAACAAGATGTCATTGAAGTTCTAAAATAACTCTACTATTTATGAATCCATCATTCAGTGAAAATAAATTGTGTAAACGTAATAGATTATTTGATATATTCAATAGTATAGATATAAATATAATGGAGTTATTTTTGTACTTTTAATAGAAACAAGGAAATTTTCAATCTTAGACGATCATTACCTACCGATAAATGAAAAAATAAAATTACGAAAATAACCACATTATTTTTATGTCTGTATTAATTTATTTAAAATTCTCAAAGGGTGGATGAGAGTGAGGGTAATAAATGAGAAGAATACTCACACCTACATCCTAGAGCTCATCGGGTGGGTGTGGGTGTGAAGACGAACAAAATGATCTACAACCTCACTTTTCCTCACTTACATTCAGTCAATAATTTGTAGAGTTATATAGTTCTTACTAATAATGAATTATGGTTTTGGCTGGTAACGATTACAAAATATTTATTATGCAGAATAAAGTATAAGTCATATGTAATACATATATAGAAGTACAAACAAATACAACGAAGTACGAACAAAAGACATAGAAAACTATGAAGAAAGAGATTAAAGTATAAAAATAGATTTATAATTTCTTGTCACATGTATACATGACGCTGACATTTGACTCTATAGGTACTATCCAAAAATTAACACAACGCTATTGTTTAATGGAATTCTAATTATTATATATGTAGTGATAGAAATACATTTCAATATGTGTTTGTTTTTGAAATTGAATTAATTTCTTTGTCTTAGTCCTGTACTTGTTGGGATGGTTTGATTCGGTCGCCATTGACACCTGAATAGTTGTATGAGTTCACGACGAAATAATTGACTCGATAATGTAAAAAAATAGAAACTTGTACATGCGCCTGTAATAGACAATAAACCAGTGACGTTCCCAAATAAGGTGTCTTTAGCAGACTGAAGAGCATCTGGTACCACATTAATTCTCAGTGCAGTATAGATATACCAGACTGAGACAGGAGTTGACAGTAAACTAAAGTACACAGATTGAACAAGTATCATTTGTAGCAATTGTCGATCAGTTTTCTTTTTATGTTTCAATTGATCTTGTTGAGGTGTTATCGATTCAGTTTGATTTTGAACTTGATTACTTTGCGGTACCAGTCTTTTCCCTGATTGCTGAACATGTCGAATAGTAAGTAATCCAAAACTCAGCATGACAACTGATGGACCCAAACTAAATATCAATAAATTCCAGATGCCATTAAAAAGTGGATATGTAGCTTGACTTGGTGAACATTTGTACTCGTTTGTACATTTTCATATTGAATTGGCACATAAAGATAAAAAAGAGCAATAATTACAATGACGAGTAAAATAGCGCGAGAAGCAACACGAAGACTACTCCATCCTCGTAGTGTAGCTGATGGTGAACTGCACAAAAATCTATAGAAAATATAAATATAATAAATTCATTTAAAATGATCCCTAAACTTGATAGATGAATCATCTTAACTATCTCCTACTCTAACTGCACGAACAGTCTTCAGCAAAAATCTATCGATTAAGGACGAGTTCTTTCGATTTTGAACGGATTTAAAGCGAGGATTTTCACACTATCTAATATCTTTTCATATACTAATTGAAGGGAATAAGTTTTTTTTAATTAAAACAATTGAGTAATCGTCTGTACCAAATTAATTAATTTTTAAAAGATAAAGACACTCATTGAAGTACATGCTTTGACGTATATTCCAAGGTCATTGTAACAATTTCCTTCACACTCGAAAAAATAAAGAAAAATCATTCGCCCAGCATATAATCTAAGCATACGAAGAAAAGAAGAGAGACGATGTGCTAATCAGTGGTATGTAAACCTCATAGAAGAGAATGAAAGAAAAAAGATGATTCAATCTAGAATAAATAGATTACCACAGGCATTTCCCTACTAGAACATCACAAGAGTTTGCAAAATCACGATATGCTCACTGATTCCGACGACATGGGAATTGAAGTATACATTGTTTTGTTTTATAGTAGTCAACAAAGAACTTAAAACGTGTAGTTTTATCTGTTCATATCTACGCAGGGTATATCCGAGTCCAGATGTAAGAACACATGAACCCTCAACTCTCTCTAATTTCAACAAACATTATCTTTTGTAATCTGCTAGCATAAGCTTCTCTCTCTTAGAATAGTAACATAAGAGTAACGCAAAGTTAGTATTAGAATGGTTCATTTGTATTTCTACATACCGATCGATAGAAGCGAGAGCAATAAACCAGGATGTGCACGTTCTAGAAGAACAAAAAAAGATCCTATACATATTCAAAAAACAAAGTCAGTACCTTGAACAGTATACAATAAATGAAAGAATTTTGCATGATGCTGTTGAGTATCCGAAAGGATTATAAGCTGGATATACCATCTGAAGAAGCCGCAACAGAACATTAAAAGTGGTGACAAAACTACCAGCGATCGTTGTTGCTAAAAAGTAACGTGTACATGGATTTGAACGAAGTATTGGACGTGTAAACACATAAATATTCAATGAATGACCGACAGTACCAAGACAAACTAATAAATAAGACCAAAACTGATAAAAGATAATATTACCGTAGCGGAGAGCATTAATCTCAGCAAGACTTGCATTTGATAACGACATAGTTTTGTTGAAGAATTATTAAAACTGATGAGAAAATTAAAAACAAAAGTCTACAATGTTCAAATGAAGGATTTTATATCTTTCTCATCTGATAATGCAATGTATATCAACATTCTAAAAGAAATAATATATTCATTTCTTTTCTATTAACTAAATTATGCTCGGTAACACATTTTTACCGCATGATTCTTATCAGTGTAACACTATTCTTTACATCCGTATGAGATCAATCTCTTTAGACATTGTGATTAAAAAGTCATAACCTATTATTTTGATTGTAACCCTTTGATGACATTCTTGTTTTTTTGAAAAATAATTAGAAAAAAAGAAGTCCTTTGAAATAATTGACTATTAATTTTTAATTAACTTCATTTCCTGTTTGGAATGTATCACAAATATGTATATAATGTGTTCTGTAAGTTTATAGCAATATGAAACAGAATAAAAAATAGATAGTTTCCATCTTGTGATTTCATCAAATTCAAAAACGACGACGCATATAAGTGTCACCCATTTTCAAAGAAGTGAGCACGATAATATCGATTGAATGCATGATAAAAA